GTGTGTGTGTGTGTGTGTGTGTGTGTGTGTGTGTGTGTGTGTGTGTGGTTAGAGGTCAGAGACTGTTCAGAAAGGCCTACTGAGAGTCAGTTTCTTGTATCTGTGTCGCATGTGTTTCACCACTATCCCCGCCTCTTTAGGAGACCAGCGGCAGGTCCTGAGTCCAGTAACTCTCATGGGAGAAGTGAACAACAACACAGGATATGACAGATTATTTCGCTAAATTCTTGACCCACTTTTTTAACAAGCCACATAACTTCTGAATATTTTGACAATAATATGGCATTTCTCACTTTGTGTGAGACCTTTCTCTGTCTATGCAAATATAACCCAATCTGCTTTCACTCGTCCACACAATGGTCACAACAGTTCCAAACTGTCATTATGTAAAAGTGTCCCGCGGGCACTACAAGGACACTTTAAGAACACTGAGGTTGATTGCTTCATAAATTAACTTCACATAAATTGAGTCGAACGTCTAATCCAAATGTTCCCACCCTGCTGAGTTGAATTTTCCCGAAGGGATCTGTAATCTCAGTTTTTCCAGCAGGCGCCCTGTGAGCTCGTAATGAGAGCTCAACAGGCTGCACCTGCAGTGGTCGCGTGGCGATTACAGCTGGTCGAGCATAAATTACTGGGGCTTAAACTGAGAGGATATTTGAAGAATTCCCTTATTGGAAACTGCATTACAGGGTAAAAAAAGAAGCTTAAAGAACCATTCTGTGAGGTTATCACATGTGTTCATGGCAAAAGATATCATCCCAGACTTCACAATGGAGCTCGGGATGCATGCCGGTCTTATTCGGATCTACCCAGTTAAAATGATATAATGTATATAGTATATAATAATTGAATTGATTGGCCCCATCCAGTTATTTGGGTCAGTATTGGCCCGGTATCAGTATCAGTATTGAAACATAACTCCTGTTTCCTATGATCCATAGGGCTGCATGAGACCCTGGCCTTGCTCACCTCTCAGCTCCATCCTGACGCCAACCACAAAGAGGACCTGGTCTTCCTCAAAGATGTCTTCAGTGAGAAAAGCCTCGGTTACCTCATGAAGGTACAGCAGAAATGTCTCAGTAGAAGGAACTTCAAACCATGTTTGACTCAGGGATGTCTCGTCGCATTAAAAACCGACTTCTTTGTTTTCTTTGTGTGCGTTTGTGCATATCTGTATGTCTATTCATGTGCTGTACGTCCCAGATCCATGACAAACTGAAGCAATATGAGAAACGCAGCCCGACTCCAGTTCTACACAGCGCCACCTGTCTGGCAGAGGATGTAGGTGCAATCTTTCCTCAGCGTTTCTAAGCCAAACTAAACCTGAATATTGGAATTAAATGCCAAGTATAAGTAAACAGTTATTGTCATTTTCTAAAGTAAATGTAATTCATGAGGAGATTTTATTATTTCGAGCAGTGATTTTCTGATTAAAATCGTCAGCTGGCAGAGGAGCTTCAGAGCGGGCCGCTGGAGAACGATGAGAGAGAACTGCTTCTCCTTCTGAGCACTCCCCACTTCAAGGTACACACTCACACATGCACACACACTTTGTGTCTTTCCTCACACTTACACTAACTAACAAATGCTCCACAGTGTTTCTCTGATCTGTCTAATGTTTCTCTGTGCTTTCACCCTGAGCTGCTCTGATTTTCCTCTAAATTGATCATCTGTTACATACCAGCAGCATCGGAGCTGTCTGCACCCCGAGACACAGACAAGAAATCCTAATTACTCTCATCAAGTGATTATGTTCAATCTATTGGCTTTCTGGAGAGTGGGGAGAAATGACGGTTGTGGAAAAGGAACGCACATTTGCAAAAGAAGCTAGTGGAGGACATGTTTGTGATCCTTTTTCTTAGTTAACGTCCTGCCTGACTTTCTTTATATTGTCATTCAGGCCCTTAAATCCATCTGTGCATTTGTGGATGCGTGTCGTTTCGTACAGGCGATGCTGTTGGCCCACGACACAGTTGCCCAAAAGAACTTTGACCCGGTGCTGCCGCCGCTGCCGGAGGATCTGGACGACGACCTGGAGGAAGAGTCGGTCAAGATCGTCCGCCTGGTGAAGAACAAAGAGCCGCTGGTGAGAGCCGCCTCACACCTCAGGACATGACTTAATAAAGAGCTCTTCCTTCCCTCAACAGCTAATATTCTTGTGCCCTCAAGTGTTTTTTTTTTTTTTTAACTTTGAGGCTTTAGAGAGCCCCAGGGTGTGAAGGTGGGTCTCTGTGTGATGCAGAGCTAAAGAACAAAGCAGGGAGGGGTTCTTTATGATGTCAAAATCTCCAGTCTCAAATTGGTTTGGCATTTGCTATAACAGGTTATTGATCTTTCCAGCAAAGCCACCAACCTGCACATGAGGAGCATCTTTTACCCGTCTGACAGAGGGTTGTATCAGCTTCAGTGAACTGAAGATGAGATACCATACGTGCTGGAAATCAGATTCATTGTGCCTTTTTCCCACCAGGGAGCGACCATCCGGAGAGACGAGGTGACAGGAGCTGTAATCGTGGCCAGAATCATGAGGGGAGGGGCGGCTGACCGCAGTGGTGAGACAAACAGCGGTCGGACAACATGCATCACAATGCAAATGTCTGTCGCGTTGTTTTATTTTCTCTGAACAAACAAAACTTCCTATCCAACAAGACTTCCTTATCTCTACTGAAACGCTGACAGAGAAGTGAGATTATGTCGTGTAACCCCATGCACTGTCAACAGAGATCAAATCCTTGAGATTACTTCCACAAGATTGCATGTTTTGAGATTACAAACAAGGGTTGCTCATGGCTGTTGCCATGGAGATGTTTTCACCTTAATGGCAATGAAAAATTGTTTGTTTCTTGTTCATATCGGAGTCTTAAAAACTACTACTGGGATTGTCTTATAGGCTTTTTTTTTTTTTCAGTAGACTTGTTTTGTGTGTTCCAGGCCTGGTGCATGTCGGGGATGAGCTTCGAGAGGTCAATGGAAACCTGATAACCCACAAAAGGCCGGATGAAATTAGTCAGATTCTGGTAAAGGAAAAAAAAAGCTTTACTAGTTCAGATACTGTATGATGATTCACTGATACATGATGCTGCTGCTCTGGTGTGTTTGATCAGTCCCAGTCACAAGGCTCCATCACCCTGAAAATCATTCCAGCTGTGGAAGAAGAAGAAGACAAAGTGACAGAAAGCAGGGTGAGGACTCTTCAACCTCAATAAATAAACAACCAGTTTGATTTAGAAAGACTCAACAACCGGGTACTCCTTCACCAACAAACTGGGGAAAGTGTGTATTTAATTGATGGCTTGATGATTTTATAATTTTTCAAATGAAAACTAGACACATAAATGGTGTCAAGTTTTTTTTATTGTCACATTTGTCAAATCAAACAAAAAACAAAGACCCCCTGACGAGCTCAGCTGTTTTCCTCTATTCCCTCTTCTGGCATCAGCTTTATATTTAACGGACAGATATGAAAGTGATATTTATCTTCTCATCTAACTCACAAAAAGAACACAAATATGAGCATATGTCCCGAGATATCAAACTTGCTAACAGAATATTCCTGCTCCTAAAAGGTCTACCTTCGGGCTTTGTTCAACTACACGCCCTATGAGGACAAAGCCACGCCGTGCCAAGAGGCGGGACTTCCATTTAAGAGGGGGGACATCCTTCAGGTCGTCAGCCAGGAGGACGCCACCTGGTGGCAGGCCAAGAGGATTGGTGACTGTAACCTGCGTGCTGCCCTCATCCCCTCTACACAGTTCCAGGAGAGGTAGTGAGCATCGACTCTGCTAACAAATATATACAGTTTAGAGCCACTGTGTGCTGGATTTGAAAACAAGGTTGCCTTTTTTCGGATCAAAAGTAAATCTTTCCCTCTATTTATTTTCCCCAGGCGTCTGCGATACAGGATGAAAATGGGTTCTTTTCCTGCCCCTATGTCCTCCAAAGCTCCCACATGTAAGCCTAATTCGCTTTTGCAGAAATTGTCACCCATAAGCTACATTGTAAATATAAATGAAGAAGCTTAGATCTATGGACACAGATTGTATTGAGGGTCAATTCTAATCTAGCCTGGGAGCTGATGAAATGGAGATGATGAATAGAGAACAGGGGTTCTGAGGTTAATCTTTATATTAAATAAATGCTATCTTTTGTTTTATTTCCTAATCATTTTAAAAGTAAAATGAAATGGCGTGGTTTGAAAAGCAATGTTAAGTAATTTCTTTGTTGTCTGTACTCTATCTGCATAAAAGCTGAACTCCCTACCTCTCACTGAGCTTAGAAATAACAATGTTTAATTGTAATAGTGTGTTGTAAAGGTGTTGCTCTGTTTGAACATGGTCGGGAGAAGTACATAAGGAATAGTAGATAAGTGGGTGAAGGATTTTTATATCTAGATACTGTTTAGATATGACATTTGCAAGACAAAGAAAAAGTACTTTAAGATTACAGTGTATACTAGGAGCAGAGCAGTGGTAATATCATAGTATAGTTAGTTATTCTGTTTGTAAATAGTGATGCTTTGTGTTATTCCTTGCATTGCTAACCTCAGATGATCGTGCTGACAGAGGTAAGTGGACAAACATTCACGTTAGAAAAAAAACGCCCAACCTTACGTTGACCACATGTTATTATGGTCAGAACCCCACCTTAAGGTATGCTGCACTTTTCCCTCCACAATTTACCCTTTTTTACCTTTTATAGTTGCCTTCATACATGTAGTTACTGCACTTAAACCTGCTGTGTTCTGACGTTAAAGTAACATCAACCTCTCCTCCCTCTTACCTCTTCTCCTCCTGCATGCCATCCTGCAGAAGACTGTGACAGTGAGGGTGCTCTGAATGGAAAGGACATAGGTGAGGAGGCACGATTAATGGATACTGTACGATGTCTTGTTTTAGTTTAGGGTGATAATCTGGCCAAGTATTTGTAACGGGTGCGCTTGATTGCTTCTCACGGATTGGTTGAGTAGACCGGCTGCCGCTCCAATCAGGCTCCTTCAGAAGCCAACCAGGAAGTGAGATGGGCATCTGGGAACCAATCTCACTCCGGGAATCACCCATCCTACTTGGCATAGATCAAAAACACACCAAAGAGCTTACTGGCATGCTATACTATGACATTTTAATGTCATTTTTATGATGAAAAATGACATACAAAATATGGTTCAATATATCACAACAAAATGTAATTAAAGTCATGGTATGGCACGCTATAAAAAGTCATTTAAAAATGAATTTTATAGTAAGCCATACAAATATTGATGCACAATTATGTGACCACTGTAGAGGTTAAAAACAGCTGGACTTCTGCTTTCACAGTCAGTTTTTTTTGTATTCCTTAACATGTCAGGATTGATAGTGGGAGTGTTTGTACCTTCTTGTCCTTGCTTACGAAGCTCATCACTTTGTGCAGACATTTTATTCTGGCGGGCTTCTTGTGCAGTACGCTACAGCCACAGAGCTTCTCAGTGTCTTTGTGGCACCTTGTTTATCTCACTGTGCTTCACAAATGGCCTCTCCTCACACTCCATGCTAAAGGTGTTCTGTTTGTGTTTGGTGAAGAGGTAGACGCAGCACACATGCCTTCCGAGCTTCTATTCTGTTGGTGAGATTTAATCTGGTTGAATAAATGGTCTAATATGAGCTGTAGTTTCTCCCAAGAGTATGGCAGCGCCTGCCTTCTGTGGCCATGCTCGCTCATGGGAGTATTACTCAGGTACTCTTACGGATTTCTCATGGTGTCTGTGTTGTGTGATGTATGGCACAAGATTTGCATTTTAATCAGTGAGAAATACTGAATTGAAATCGATGACATTTTCAGTTTGAAGTCTTGACGTTAAATGACTAGTTTAAGAAACAGCAAAGTGTGATTGGCAATACACTTTGAAGGACTTTGAGTATATGGATCTCTGTCCATTCTACATTTGTATTTTCATCTCTTTGACCACAGCTAGTCTGCGCAGAAATTTCCGCCTCAGGAAAGATCGCCACAATTCACCAGGAGAAGCTCAAACTCCAGAGGCCAATCACACAGAGTTCCGCATTTATGAAGAAGTAACACAATATCTGCCCTGCCCTGGTGAAAGGCCCCGTCTTATAGTACTGATAGGTAAGTTCTGCCACGTGTTCCTCAGCACGTGATTATATTGTATTACTGTCTGTTCAGCTATTTATTCTGTTATTGTGGATCCCAGGTTCCCTGGGAGCTCGGATCACTGAGGTCAAACAGAAGGTGATTGCTGAAAATCCTCAACGTTATGGTTTGGCTGTGCCTCGTAAGTCTCTTTGCCTTTAATAGTTCCTTGGTTAAGATGCTGTGTTGTACCTGTAATATAGGATTTAAATATTGAATCCACTCTTTCAGACATTGTCATCCCTCGATGTCTTAATCCAAAATGAATTAGCTACAGTGAGAGCGGGATCGGATATTTTGTTTATCACTACTGCAAACAGCTCATGAGTAAAAATGTAATACTTGTGATAAATGTTCTGTATTGGAGTTGACAATATTCACATTCATTTTGCAAAGCACTTGGCTGGTTAGACATGGGTATGATGTCATCATGACTCACTTTACTTTAGCGTGTTCCCTTATTATGAAGTGTCTACCCCCCTCCCCCCAAAACATACAAAGGTCCAGTTATGATCTTTTATTTACGCTCGTCTTGCTGCTGTCTGTTTAAACATGTGCCCTGAAGATACTACTCGAACCAGGAAGTGTTATGAGAGAGAAGGAGTGGAGTACCACTTCATCACCAAAGCAGCTTTCGATGCCGACATACAGAGTGGCAAGTGAGTATTGGATGCTGGGTACTTAATCGAGTAAACCAATTGATTGCAACAAATCGTTTGTATAATTAAGTCTTGATCGTCTTGTATTTTTGCAGATTTATTGAATATGGGGAGTATAAAGATAATCTGTACGGTACCAGTTTGGATTCCATTCACAGGATTTTGGATCAAAACAAGGTCTGCCTTGTGGATGTGCAACCAGAGGTTAGTGTCTAAGCTGACCTGCAGTACTGTCAACCAAATACATTTCAAATTACAATTGCGTCACCTGGCATGTACCTGTACTTTTAATTCAATAAATATGCACGGACCTGTGCAGACAGTCGGATGACGAGGATTTAAAACCAGTGACACAAATGGAATATTTCTTATCTATCTAGAGTCCCCTACACTATTTTATCTACATATGCCTACAATAAAGTCCCTCGTGTTCATGCAGAATAGAACATCTATTCCAAGTTTTAGCATCGCTAATCAGACAGTTAAGAGTTCTACTTTATACATTTGAAGAATAACCAAGTCTGGATTCAGAACATTGAATTCAGTGAGCTGAAGGGTGCTTTCAGACTCGACGCTCTTATGTCCACTGATTTATCTTCCCCACTTCTGTTAAATTGTGCTTTCACAAGGAATGGAAGGTGTTAACTTAGTTCTACATTACATGTTGGAATAGGATGCCATATATACAGTGCAAACAGAAGACATAATTTAACATCTACTGCAGTGTTACCATGCTGTTTTTTACCTCCACATTCAGGCACTGAAGACTCTACGTACTCCTGAGTTCAAACCATATGTAATCTTTGTAAGGCCTCGCATCGATGACAGTCAAAGGAAATCAGTTGGCTCCTCTTCCTCGCTCAGCTCAGTCCTCACGGTGAGTTGCTTTAAACTTGAATACTTGACTAATGGGACTACTTTATAATTATATTCCTACTGCAGGCTTTGCACACTAAATGTGTACCCGTGTTCTCCTTCCTTGTGATGACTAGGACGACGACCTGCAGGAAATGAAACAGTCGGCTGAGAGGATGGACGAGTGCTACAGCTCCTGGGTGGACTACGTCTTGGTGAAGGAGGACCCGGCCAGTGCCTTAGCTGAGCTCCAGGTCGTACTGGAGCGGGTGCAGACGGAGCGCCAGTGGGTGCCTGTGTCCTGGGTGAGGAGCTAGACTGGTTCAAGTTGGATCCGTGGACCCCATAGCATGTGGAGGACAGATTAGACTGAGTGTTGGAGTCGTCAAGTGTTTACTGCTATACTCGCATACAGGTTTGTGATAGTTGGCTGAGTCAGTAGCTACAATTTCATCAATCTGAACATCCAGCAAGCCATCGCCAGAGATATGCACTCAGTACGATCAATTATGTAAGAACTCTACCGTGAGAGCAGCTATAATGTGAAGTGCCATATCAAGCTTTTACAAAAGATTATTGTACAGCGGAATAATAAACCTGCAGACCATCTTCTTCTTACAGAGACTGTACTTCTGTTTCCTAACTTTTGGCAAAAGTCTGTATTAAAAAAGACAAATGTGTTGAATCCATCTGTTGGCACTGCTGTTTGAAGATAATGAATTCCTGAGAAATAACACTCATGCACCATCCAGTATTTGGGGAAACCATTTACTCTAGAATGACAATTATAAACCATACCATAAACAAAAGAAGGAAAATATACATGTGTTCGCATTGTGATCAGACTACACAAGGCCTTCTACTTCCACAGCTTCTTGATCGACATGTTCTTCTCACTGTCTTTCTGCATCACCTGGTGAAGAGGACACAGAACAGTATTTAATAGGCAGGTAGAAACAGTCATACAAGTATGCACATTAAAAATAAAAGGGTGAGATTAGCTTTGAGCTAAGATACTCTGTACAAGAGAATGTTACACAAACCTTTGCCACGGCCATCTCAAAGTCCTCCTGGGTGACATGAACTCTCCTTTCTCTCAGGGCGTACATCCCTGCCTCTGTGCAAACACCCTAAAAACATACACAAGAAAATTAAGTCAAAGGCCTTTATTTACCACCCTACTGCTACCATTTAGTGGGCATATTCTCACCTTAACCTCAGCACCAGAGGCTCCAGGCATCAGCTCTGCAATCTTCCTCAGATGAATGCCTCGTGTCAGGTTCATCTTCCTGGAATGGATCTTCAAGATGTCCAGACGGGCCTAATAGTGCAGAATTAAGATATGCTCAAAACAAAACCGCCCACAGCATTTATGAGTTTGTGTATAAATACTGTGCAAGTGAGTACCTCTTCATTTGGAGGAGGGAACTCGATCTTCCTGTCGATCCTGCCTGGCCTGAGCAGAGCTGAGTCCAATATGTCAATACGGTTGGTGGCCATAATGACCTGAGAGAAAGAAATACAAAACAAATTGATGCATATTCATATTTTTTTCCTGTCTTGGCCCATCCATCATGGGCTTACACAACACCACTGTTTTGCATATACAGAGCTTGTGAAAAAAATCAGTATCCCAAATATGCTAGTCCCATAAAAAAAACAAGTTATTGCAATTGGATAATGAAGGTGTATAAATTAATGCTTTTATACTATGCGTTGAAAGCGTTTACAAATCAGTATATAAACATTTATAACACTAATGAAGTTGTAAAACCATAGCTGGATGCTAGTATATAAACAGATGAAGACGTGTCTTCCAATGTTATGTTTTTGAAAATGCTAACTGATAAACACTTAAATATGTCCTTTTATACACTGCGGAGGGTGTGCGCTACCTTGATGTTCTTGGTGGCCTCGAAACCGTCCAGCTGATTGAGCAGCTCCAGCATTGTCCTCTGCACCTCACTGTCGCCGCCTGAGCCGCCCTCGAGGCGAGACGACCCGATGGAGTCGATCTCGTCCATGAAGATGATGGAAGGAGCATGTTCTCTGGCCATGACGAACAGCTCACGCACCATACGGGCACCTGCCGCAAGACAAGGAGGACCCCCGGTTATAAATTCAGATAATTTAAAAAAAAATTAACCAAGAATGGAAAAGAATTTGATAAAAGTGTTGAGAAGAGACAGTCTCACCCTCTCCAATGAACTTCTGGACCAGCTCAGAGCCAGACACTCTGATGAAGGTACAGTCAGTGTGGTGGGCCACAGCTCTGGCCAGCAGGGTCTTCCCTGTACCCGGGGGGCCGTACAGCAGCACGCCCTGCACACATTCAAAACAGACATCAGAACCAACTGCACACTGACACATGGATACAACGTGACCAGAGTTGTTGTGTGGTCAAAACAAGACATCTGAAAACATCACCTCAGGCTTTAAGATGGTGTGATGAGCAGTTTCAGTTTTTGTGTCCAATAGAGGGAATTATAATTTGTTGCAGCCCTACATGTCACCATTCTCACGTAAGATCTTTGCATCTCCAAGTAAACGAAATACTTTTTTTAGGTGGTTGACAATGTAGTTTTGACATTCTCCAAAAGATTTTGCTGGGATATATTCTCAACCCTTAGTTACCTTCCGTCTCTAACCTAATCTCAAAATGTGAGTTTAAACAACACACAGAGTGGCTGTAGACACTTGCTTATCTAAAAGGCTGTGGTTTGTGCTCTTGAGCACTATTAGCGCTCTCCTCAATCACTCACCTTAGGCTGTGCAATGCCTAAAGCCTCAAACAGCTCTGGGTGCTTGACGGGCAGCTCAATCACTTCTTTGATCTCCTTGATCTGCTTATCCAGGCCACCAATCATTTCATAGGTAGAGTCTGGCACCTTCTCCACCATCATAAGGGACACCAGAGGGTCCACCTTGTTGGGCAGGATCTTGTGCAGGGTGTAGCTGTCATTTCGCAGAGCTACGCGGCAATTGGGAGTCACCTGATGCAGAAATGACAAAAGGGATGAGATAATAGGAAAGCACACTTCTAGCCTAAGGTTTCCTGACATGAAATACTCCTTTATCATCAATGACTGAATGTACAGGGTGGCAAATATGGCTCGTTTGATGTGCTATGGTGGTTACAAATGAAAGGCATAGTGTGTTTTAGCTGTTCTCTTTTGTTATGGTTAAGCGAACAGTGGGAAAACTATCCAAGGACTATTAACCATTATTGGGTAAACAACAACTATAATACTTACATCATTGATGTCAATGTTCTTGTCCACATCCACGACAAATTTCCCTTCTGGATGAACCTAAAAAATGATGAGGAGACATGTTGATTTAAACTGTCAGCTAGTACTCAAGATAGTGTGGTACAAAGTACAAGTACACAGCATACCTTAACCAGCACTTTCTTCTTGTCCATGACCCTCACCACTTCCCCTACATAGGACCCCTGCTCTTGTAGTAACTGCAGCTCCTCACGAAGGAGACGCACTGAGAGACAAAGAGTAAAAATGTTATATTTTCACCCATGGGGAAATATTATGTCCAGCTTTATGTGATAGACTGAAATAATATTACAAAATATATGGAAATATTCGTGTGATAACAAACAGCGTACCTTTGGCGTTGAGCTCATTTCTCTGTGCCTGCAGACGTCTGAGATTCTGGCTCTTGTCATTTACTGTCAACTGTTGAGAAAACATTGGTTCAGGATTGACAGGCAAGCAGAAATTGTGCAATACAGTCAAAATAACAGCAGAGTTTGCAGATATAATATTTTCTTACCTGCAAGTCTTCTATCTTGGACAAGTAGTACTGCCGGAGACCCGAGCCACCTTTAATATCGCCCATCTCCATCTGTCAATGAAAATAATCCAACTTTATTTAACTCGTTTTTAGTTAACAGTTTGGTCTGTAAAATGTTAACAAAAAAAAAAAAAAAAAAAAGAGAGAAAATGGTTTATCATAAGTTTTCAGAGTCCCAGTATTGACCAACAGTAGAAAACCTAAAGATATCCAATTCATATTACAAAAATAATCACATTTAAGAAGCTAGAGTTTTTGATGGATAAATGACAATTTTGTAAAAAATAATGCCAAATTTACGTTTAATTATCTACGCAAATGTTTTGCGAATCTGTGAACAGCAACTCATGAAGCGGGGTTAGTGCTAAAATGTTCACTCGGTTAAGGTAACGCTACTTGACAGCGAGATATAGAAGCTAGAGATAGATAAGTGCAACAATACAATGATAAAATGGGCTAAAAGTTAGCGTTACCCAGGACTCCATAAATAACTACTTGGGTAGTTTAAATCTGCTGACTAACATTAGGCTTGCTAACGTTAGTGTTAGCCAACTAGCTTAACGAACGCTTGGTGGTCCTAAAACTACTAACGTTTGTTATTTATGTTACGTATTTAACATACGTTGTACTCTTAACTTAATTACAGAGAACACGGATGCTGACAATCATTCAGAGTAGCTAGCTCAAGCTAGCTGTACGTTCAGTTGACAGTAAGCCTTGGCTAGCCAGTTAATGTTAGCTAGGTTAGCTACAATGAGACAGCAAACCGGCAGAATTCCAACGTACACATTTATAGTTTCGAATGAAGTAACATTTCACTATTTACAGCAGACTCGCACAGCCATTCCTCCTCACAGCCACTTTAAAAATACCATTCGACTTAAAACATAATAGCTACATCTCTTTGATAATATATTAACAATAAATCCGAGAAAACGGCAGAAAAAAAAAAATACACCTACATGATCGGCTCCGTATACCTCCATCTTGGATTTTTCTGCATCCGCTCGAGGAGAGGCATATTTCCGGAAGACTTCTTCTTCGGTGATTGTTTTTCACTGCACACACTGCCCTCTACAGGCCTTTTTCAAAAACTACATATTCTTTTTCAGCCCCAACCGCTTTGCCTTTTGCTGTTAAGTTGCCGTTTTCATGACCTTATAACACGTTTTAACTAACTTAACGTTAAATAATTGAGTTTCAAGGCTTACTTTACTCTTAAAAACACATGTAGCATTTAACAACAAGTTTAATTCAGTGTAAACCTTTGGGCACATCTTTGTTTAGTACCATTTTCACCAAAGCTGAAACACAGATCTGTGAAGGGTGTAGGATGTATTTTGGTTGGCCGTTATTTGAGGAGTGGTATACCTGTCTAGGCAGTTAAAGACAGGTAAGGTGAGCCCTACCTGAAAATATGAAAACCACATGAAACCGCTGCTCTGAGGAACCTGAGCTCTAGACCTGCCCTAACATGCACACTGCTACGGTTGCACAGTAAAGGATATGAATATAAGTCTACGCCATTATTTTTAATAATAATACCATTGGCAACCTTGTAATATGCTCTATATCATGAAATAAGAAATAATTGCAAGTATATTTATTGTAAAAAAAAAAATGTATAAACGATAAAGGCCTTTGATTGATACACAGCATGCAAACATTTTACAGAGTTGTTGTGTACAAAAAATATTTGTACACAACATTTCTCAAATGCCTCAATTCTCAAGTGCCTTCTCCACAAAACAAATTTTGGCACAGCGATACCTCTTAATATAGAATGTTTAAAGACATTTAGGAAACCCCCTCATACAAAACCATAACAAAATAGCATTTCAATGAAAAGTCAACCCATGAAACTATAAACTGTTCACAACAATTTGGTGCATTGTTTAGTTGACACTCTACAACTGCATTCCTATTTTGTTAAGATCAGTTAAACTTCTTGGAAGATATTAAACTCCCAGGAAGAACCCTTTAATCTGAACAGCCTGCCACAGTTCATATTCCTGACATAACAATAACCCTACAACCCCAATAACAAACAAAAACAGCACGTAAACATCCAAGAAGTACAAAAAAAGAGCTGCTGACAAAGCAGACTCAAATAAAGAGCTCAATCGAGCTTTCTTAGTCAAGAAATGTTTCATTTCAAACTAATATATCCACCATGACAAAAAACAAACAGCACGTCAAATTATTGTTGGAATAAAAAGCTTCTTATTAATTCTCATCAGTCATGAGACATCTTAAGAATTCCTATGTTTTGTTTTTTTAAAGAATACATATTGTCTACATAGATTTTTGAAATTAAAATATATATTTTTCTGGTGTACGACGTTTTCAGTAAGGATATATTTTGCAGTTGCTCCTTTCTAAAGTTTATGGCTTTCAAATGCAAAGGTAAACAGACACCCTTTTCAAAATAGCACACAATGTGATGGCGAAAAGCACCTACACAGCACTGATGCTTACAAACATTCAAGCATATTGTACCGTGAACAAAACATATTGCAAAACAAGATTATTTGAATAGGCTAAAAGTGATAGGCAATGCAATGCAAACATATTATTAGGGACACGTTAATCACTTTGGTCCCAGAACTATTATCTTTTGTGTATCTCACTTAAACGCTGGTCTATCACACCATGTCACTGAGGATGGGTGTGTGAACATTTAGGCTGCAACATTAGCTTATTTCTTTCCCGGCAAATTCAAAATTCCAATTGAGTAAACATTAACATTTGATTAACCAAATTAAGCTGGCAGCGGAATATGTCTTTAGGTGAGTCGGATACCCAAAACCTGCTCCAACTCTTGTCTTCTCTGCTGCAACTGAAAAGGAAAAAGCGATAGCGTTAGTGCACATCAAAGCTAATCACAATATACACCTTACAATAAAACATCTATCAGACATGTACATCATTAAGAAGTGCATATTCGGCTATGTGATTCCTTACTCTGGAGTAAACGTATCTGCCCACTGCCTCTGGTACCCAGGGAGCCTGGTAGAACTCAGTTCTCCTCTCCTCCTCTGGGTTTCCTGCCACATCAGTCATCAACTGACGAAAAAAGGAAATGTATCTTTCAACACGAAGAACCCCAATTTCATGGATACAGAAAACTTTCATTCCCAAATGCCAAAATAATATTGTAAATGGTGAATTTACTTTGGCAGTCAAGGCACTGAAGTCTCTCCATTTAATTTGAGAAAACAATGCTGCAAAATACTGTTGTTTTCGCTTCCATTTGACTTTTGAACTCTGTTCTGGGTTAATTCATCCAGTTTGTGTCGGCACAGGAGCGTCATCGAGCAGGGAATTATAGGACTTGTCGGCTGTTAATTTGCCTCGGTGAACTGGCAATATAATGCCATCGCATACAAAATATGTATTTTAAATAGTATTTTAGAGCATATTCCCGTCTGCAAACATGCTCCAAAAATACTTTGAAATAAAACTGTTTAAAATTGGGAAAGAAAACCACTGACTGCACAAAATATATAAGCAAACACAAACATTGTTAGGGCTGTCATTAATACACTGACGATACAACAGTCATACAAGCTTAAAGAAGTGGAGGATACAGTGAGATACCAACAGAACAACCTTACTGAAATACCTCGACAAATATCTTCTTAAAAAACTACACAGCTAAAGATGTTGTAAGTAGACTTACAACATCAAAGAGACTCCTTTTGGGAAACATACAGCACATTAGTGATGGGAGCCAATGTTCACCTTCAGATCTCTGCTCTGAGACTTGAGCCAGTCCTGGATGAAGTCCTGAGGTTTATTGCTGAAGCTCAGCATAAAGTCTCTCTCGGTCTTCAGCTGGTTGATGTACTCAATCGTCTCGTGAATCTGCAGCGAAAACAACCAGTGTACTAAATGTAAAGACCTCATTTTGCTTTTATTACAATTCTCCTAAAAGCAAGTGTCTAGTGGCTGACTGGTAGGCCTTACCTTCATCTCCAGCGCAGCGATTTCCTGTTGGTTGGTTGTAGAGGACAGGAAACTGTTCATTTGGCCCTTCAGTGGGTCATCCACCTCCACATCGATGTCATAGCATGCTGTCTTCTTCTGATCTGTCGGGTCCACACTGCTCAGAGACGAAGAGACAGCAAAACCAAGTTGAAGTCAAGAATGCTGTTCAGGCAAACGTTTAAGAGCACGGTCCGAATTATGAAGCTCACAAAACAAAAATCAAGATAATAAATGAGATCTGGACAACACAAACACAGAAAGAGGGATAATGATCAACATTGCCCTACCTAATCATGTGATTGATAATGATGGGTTCAGGGTGCTGCAGAAGGCCGGCCAGTTTCATGGGTATCTCAGAGAACCTCATGCGAGGACAGCTGAAGATCTGAACAGATTTGGTAAAAAAAAACTGAGCAAAACTGGGAAGAAACCCTCAACATTTGCGAGGCTCTGCACATTTGACATAATTCATTACCAAATGATTTTGAATGCATTTTCAAATGTCAAAGCAACCGTGGGAATTGCCTAAGGTGGTCAGCTAGTGTCTCGCTGCCCCGCATAGCTTTAACACCGTTCCTTTACCTGTCTGAAATAGCGGTTGCAGTTGATGTACTCCTTCTCATGACAATCCTGCAGCTTGTTGTTCTTGATGTAGAGCCACAGGGCTTGCATGATGCTGGCTCGCGTCTGTGTGTGCACACCCAGCAGACGAGCCAACCGTGGGTCCAGTTTGTACTGAGGGGGCTGAAAAAAAAAAAAAAAAAAAAAAGGCATTGGAGCAAAGAAAGTGGTGGTTGAAAAACTGCAAGTAAGTCATCCCATCAAGGGAGACGACTATTAGCGAGAAGGTAACTGAGCAAAGGCACCTGGTGGTCGAGCATGAGCAGGAGGGTGCATTTAACGCTCACGTCGCCGGGCCTTTTGACTTGGAAACCATCCGTCTCCTGAGTAGTGGGCATTCTGTGCCACTGGAAGATAAAGTCAGAAGATTAGATTATCTGTATTAAGTCCAATGAGAGCTAAAACTAAATCTAAGCTGAAATAAATACAGAAAGTGGGACTCATACAAGCAAGCGCTCACAGACTGTAGTGGCACGGTGCCAGTATTTTTAAATGGTGCAATCGTTGGGTATCTATTATTATAGATATTACAATAGATTCAGATTCATTAAATAAATATGGTGGGATATCGTCAATATTCAAGAGCTCTTGGACTGACTCCAAAAGCTTTAAGGATTCCAGCTGAACTCCCCCTTTGTTGATCAGTGCAGTCTCAGAGCATTTTGGCCTAAAATGTTCTGAGACGGATGCATCACATGCCTTTAAAATGATGTCATACCTCTACTAAGTGGTTGTCAGGTCCATAGAGCTCCTTATCGAGCTCGATCACCAGGCTTTTGAAGAAAGATGAGAACTTCCTCTTCTGCTTGCCAGGCTAGGAAAAAAAAAGTGCAAAAGAGAGAGAGCCTGTTATCCATCTACGTCTCCTTATTGTGCTGTGTCAGTCTGTGCGGCCGCATTGTTTAGCTCTGACCACATTGGGAGGGGGGGGGGGCGAAGCACAAAACTGTAGACAACTAGAAAAAGCTGTTGCGCCCCCGCCTTCTCCAAAGCCCCATTAAAGTCTGTTTGCACAACATGACCCCTCTCACTCCATCCCTCACATCGCTTTTCTTTTTCTGTTACTCCATGCAAAACTCCTACGCATGCCTAAACCAAATGAGTGAAAAGAAAATCCTCCTTCATGTGGCCCCAGATGACACAATGAGTGGAGCTGGAATTGATGGAGGGAGGGGAGGCTTGTCAGATGGTATGTAACGGCCGGTGGTTTCAATTCCTTGTTTCAAAAGAGAACATGAGCTTGTGTGTGTGTGTGTGTGTGTGTGTGTGTGTGTGTGTGTGTGTGTGTGTGTGTGTGAGAGAGGAGTTGAGGGTTGGAGTGGGGAGAGCTGCAAACACACATCTGGTTGCATGGTCAGAGCCAAGGACACAGGCCAAACAGAGCTGAATGGCTGAAGTTTTTTCAGAAACTAAATAACACACACTGAAATACTTGGGAGTCAGATCATGCTGGGATAACGGAGAAACGGAGCAAGACGATTCAAATGAAGAAAGGGGTTCACGTACTTCCTCAAGAAGTTTTCCCTCCACTCTCAGTTCCCAGGAGGACACCTTCTCTGCCTCCTCGCCCTCGGGTTTGCTGGGGGTGTACGTGTTCGAAATGTAGATCCTGAGCTTACGTTTTTGCTGCGTCATAGAGATGAACAAGCACAGATATCAGGAACTCAAACAAAAATGAACCATGACAAGTTTGAATAAAGCTGCATTTGGAATTTAGACATTTTTTAAGCTGCATTTGGTGATCGGTGAAGAAGGACCTTCAAGAAAACATGGCAGTCAATGTATATACATTCTCTTCATGAAGCCTGAAAGTTATTTCAAATAATCCTTTTCAGTATTGTAAAATCTGACAATGCACTCTTAATTGTACCATAATGGGCTTCTTGATGGCCTCCTGAATCTCCATACGCTTTCGGGCGATGGTCTGATCCAGTTTCCTCTCAAACGCCAAGAGATCCATGTAGGCCTGGGACTCTGGGACCAGGTCTCGAATCTAAAGAGCCAACAGCAATGCATGAATATTAAGAGACAACAGCCAACTGTGAAGAAACTGAATCCATCTAAAGCATGATTGGGGGGTAAAAACGTTGTTACCCTCTGTGGGAGAACCTTGTCAGCCATCTTGCGTCTTTTTGCTCTAAAAATCCCAAAGAAAATATTATAAACAAGATGATTTCCAAAGCACTATATGTTCATTTAATTAAAAAAACACACATGAACTGACCACATGAACTATATGCTTTCTCTAACATATAATGTGTCATCATTTAGGATTTGCCTTTATGAAAGGATGACCTTCATTCACCAATAAACAAAGGAATGACACGTAAAATATTAACAGAAAGACCTAACTGACTTCATTTGATTATCAATTATCTTTGAAGACTTCACAGTGCAATAAGGAAACCTTGGCCAGTGCTCCCTCTTCGTTAACTTCCACCGAATGATCACCTTGGGCTCTGACCCATCATCATCGTCACTATTGACTTCATAGAAGTCGTTTTGTTTCTTTAATTAAATTACACAGTTCCCCCTCGTTAGGACTAAATTGAATTCCCAAGCTCATTATTAAGAATTTAGATCGCTGCTTCGGGCACTGCGGCACACCGGTCCTTCTGAGGATTTGTGTTATGAGATAGAGCTTTAAAGACAAGAGGTTCATTGTGGATGAACTATAAATGCAGCCTCACATCATGGATCGCCACATTTATGAGCGTGATATCACTGAGCCGTTTGAAGTCAAAAATATCCACTCGTGTCTCCCGCTTTGAAAGCAAAGACGAGTCATGAGATACTCCCATCCTCGTGTCTGTGTGATCTGCTTTTAACAGCTCAGAGACTTCACAAGCAGACTGCAGAGAGACAAACACATCCCGAATGAATGGTGGTGTTGTTGTATCGTTAATGAGCCATAACAGGCTAAATTAGCCACCGAATCGTTATGACTATATGACTTCTACGGTGTTATGTAGAGAAATGTATATTTACAATTCAATGAATTCGTTTTTACATGAACTATAATTTGCAAAACATTTCCCACTAGAGGTTGTGTTCATTCAGAATCTTTTAAGTACACAAACTGTACTGCTGTAGTAGTTGTCCTGGCTGAGGAACACATCACTAGAAAGGTCTTTAATCATGTTAGCTGTGAATGAGGAGGACAAACACCCGTTTTCATCACGAAACGTTCCTCTTTTAAAATTCATGATCCTCATGAACACTTTTCCGGTATCATTACATCATAAAAAAGCTACAAAATAACAAGAAGAAGAAGAAATCTAACTCTTTGACTTCGGCTTTACACCAATATTTTGTTTTAGTCAGGCAAAATTTGGAAAATTAGGTTTTGTATCTCTACGTTTTTAAAAGAAGAGTATATGTTTCAGGAAATATGATGTGCATGAAAGAGTAGGAGTGAAAGGAAATACTTAATTGTTGTTTTTTTACTGTTACTGTTGTTTAAAGAAAAAGTTGAATTAATTGGTAACAATCTTAATAACTGTAAATAAGCACCATTCCCTGATTTGGCCCTAGGTTGTGTTGATCAATTAACCTAGACATTATTCCGTTCCCGCTCTTCTTCTTCTCTCACAAAAACACTCTCACTTCTTCACAGTTTACCCTCGTCTCAGGCCTCCCAGTGCCTCTTGCTGCTGCTGTTGATGCAGATGAAGGAACCGTTTCCGCGAGGTGTCCATGCTTAGAGGCAGCATGCCTTGCCGCATGGGCATGTTCCCACCACCGTAAGAAGGACCGGGCAGCTGACCCCCCATTGACCCCATGGGGCCCCCCGCTCTGTTGGATGGCATCCCCGGGCGCTGAAGAAAAAAAAAGCTGAAGCTGATTTCACGTTCAAAATGTTCAATTACTGAAAAACAAGTTTCTTTCTCCAGACCTTTTCTCGTACTCACTACTCTCCTTTGGAAGAAAAGCGTGGTTATTAAAATAAGCTTGTATGTGAATGCTGTAGTTACATTTTGTCCCTGCAGAACTGGTTTACAAAAGATGGGTTTATGCTCCCAATGTGATGATTCTGCCATCAGATTTAAAGCTAATTGGGAAAGAAATGATTTCCTGTAGTACATTGTGTGTAGCACAACTACTAGCACTAGTCATAGTATAAAAACAAAAGTGAAAAGGAATATTTTGCATAAATGTACAGTACGTGCAGATTCAATAACCTAGAGAACAGCAATTTAAACAAGTTTTTTATTGCGATGTTTTTTGTGACGTGCATGTATGTATTTATATTTTTTTCTGTAATGACATCTGTTGTATGCATGTGTGTATAATGGCTAATTTCTTGATTTGCCAATCTTTATCTGGTCATATAACTCAGTAATAGTCTGACATAAACCACATTTAAGAGACTTATCACCAATGTAATGGTCTTAACAGTGCTGCTTCCTTTGTTTGGTCCCTCCTTTAACAAAACAGCACACATCTGAACCCATATGGCTCTAGCTAACAAACGCTAGACACCTGTAATAATGCATATTAACTAAAGACCACGTGGTGGTAACACTGGGATAATATATGCAGCCTTAGCTCTGACAGATGATAGTGATGATGAACTTACTTTTGTTTTCAAGCTAACTGACAGGAGGCTGAGGGCAGCCACGTGAGTTTCTCTTTCACGCGCGCACAAAACATTGATTTGTAATACTAATTATACATTAAACGTCCAAATACTTAAAGGTACACAATTATCAATCACTATAAACGCCATATATATATATAAAAGAAAAGTTGCACTTAATTCACTGGTGGCAGTAAGTACAGCACAAAGCATATTAAAATGCGGAAGTAGCGTCCACACCTTGATATTTAAAAACAAATTCTGAGCTTTTACTTTAATATGTCAAGCCAAAACTGCATATTCTTTTAATGTTTTCATCCAAATGTAGGACTGCATGTACTCTTAAAAGCAGCATAAAGTTGAGCCTCAGTAAAGCTAATTTAACAGACTCCCCCCGCCTTTATCTGAGCACATTCCCCTATTTAGTGAAGAGACATTGAGCAGAAAACCAACCTGGTACTGGGGCGCGTTGTTCATGCTCCTGGGGTATCCCGCCGGTGCCTGCTGCATGCCCGACATCCTCATACCCGCAGCATGCCCAACATTCATGGGGCTCACGTTCAGATTCATGTGAGTGAATCCTCTCGATGCCATCTTCTGGATCCACAAGTGGTTTGTAAAAGTGGCGGAAACTTCCGGCACCAAATTTCGGTCCACAAAGAAGTCAATGAAGCTACTTAACGAACGTACGCTGGTACAAATCTTAAAGTGCGCTACAGTTACTTTAAATGAGGTCGGGTTGTGGTTTGATAGCAAGCACACTATCAACAAAAAGCTAGCTAATGTTAGCTCGTTTCCTACCGTGTCAAGTTCCGGGTTTTGCTTCTGGCTACAACTGTTTGTTTTCTGGAGAGCAAAGTGGCGTCTGTTGTGTTTGTCACCTCCTCTCCTCGTTCCTAAGTCCTAACATCGCGCACTAGCAGCTATTTCAGCGAGGCCGATGTTAACGACTGACTTATGACAAACCGAGTGTCTATTTAGCAATACCGGGAAGTATTCTTGTTGTAACTGCCTACCTACACGCACCCACGCACACACACACGTACACAAACACACATGCACGCACGCACAGAATGCAAAATGCTGCCTTCGTGGATGTCGGAAATGTTTGCTTACTTCCCCTCGCCTACTCTAACATTTATCCTTCTTTTGTGTGAACACATTAAAATTATGTTTAGCCTAATTCATTAAAGCCTGTGTAGTCCTGAGGTGTAACATGCATGGACGGATGCACACTCATCCCCCTCATTTTGCCATTGTGTCACTTTGTCTCTACACCAAAACTACCAGCCCCGACATACTTTACTGTCAGATACCAGTATTTGTTAATAAAATACCACTTGAATGCATTAGAATAAATTGACTTCAGTGCCTGAAACAGACTATGTATGACAGCTACAGCACTTGCACAGAAACCAACCAGTATTCCTAATTTGGACCCTGTGGCTCTAGGATTTTTGTGGTAATTTGATTAAACACATTATTTAGGATTATGCACCATGTGAGCACAATGTAAGATGAAATACATATAACTAGAGGCCTCTCTCTATAAGACATGGCAACTAAATGAAAGGCAGAAACAGTATTAGCATCAAAATACATACTTAAAGTACCAAAAGGTAAAGTGCTCATTATAGAGGATGGCCTATTTCAGAATAACATACACCATATTACTAACTTTTGTATATAGGTTATTGACTACAATAATTTGCAAAGTAACTAAAGTAGCTGTCGTGAATGTAGTGGAGTAAAGACATCGTTATTTATCTCCGATATCTAGTGCAGTAGAAGAGTATCATAAAATAAAAATACTCAAGTAAATCACAAGTACCTCAAAACTATACTTAAGTACAGTAGTTCCTTACTTTTCATCACTGGTTTTAACTTTTGTATCTACAGTTTGGTAGCTGAATGGTCAGGTTGTGATATGATTAATAGTGTAAAATGTACAACTTTCCAATAAATAAACCCGCATTCATATTTTGGAGCATCTGTAATCTTTGCTTTTTGGTGATATATTGGGCAATTTTACTTCTTTAACCACTGGTTCAACACACACAGCTCTTGAAGGATGGGTTGCCAAATTTACAAAGACTCCTCAAATTCTTTATATAACACTGTCTACATCATATGATGCATCTGAGATACATTATTTTAGCCTGCGTTAACGACCACCAACACACAAATGAATAAGAGCTCAGATATCGGAGTTTAGGAGGAGCACATGAAGGCAGCATAAGTGGCAGTTTTCAGTTCAGAGAACTCGATGCGCAACACTTTCCTTTGATTAAAATCTCCAACTGTGAACTTTTTTTGTTTACCATGTCTTAGTTCCCTAAGAATAATATCTACAACAGCAAATCCCTGGGGGAAAAAAACATTCACAAAGCAACATGCAAGCCTCACAAGAGAGGTGTATTGAAATAATAAAAACTGAAGCATCTCTCGTCCTCTTCTTTTGATCAACAGCATCCCCTGTTGGCCATTTGGTCTTCAATCGTAAGTACCTGAGCAGAGTTATGATCAAACCCCCCATTCAGTCCAAAGTTACCACCAGACATAACGACAGGTAACAAATCATTTATTATGCTACACAGAAGAAACAAACTGAGCCATGATAGCAGCAATTCAACTATTGGAATATTTACACTATCACATCACACCAAAGATATATGTAACCCTTTACAATGTAAACACATGATACAAAGACATTTTTAAACGCTAGAAAACAAGCCGACAAATCCACCGAGAATGAAATGAAACGAAACAAACCTGCAGTCTGCAGAAAATACCTGTTTGTAGAATGAAGGGTTCATTTACTGAACTTCTTTTTTTTAAACAAGTTTTCACAGGTGAATGACAAACTGAGGGTTGCTTCTCTCTCAAACACTGTGCTGTGATTCAACTGGAGAACTATGAGCCTGCAGCGAATGCTAAAATAAAAGACAAACCATTAGTAATGATTGTCTTTGACAATATTTTTCAAAGAATGCAATTTTAAAAAGGTGAGGAAATAGAAGTACACCTAATGCCTAATCCTTTCTGTATTTGAAACAACATAGTGTATGTGCACACGTTCACTCTTCACACAGCTGCCGCTGCATGAATGACACCAGAAGCTACCTCTGTGCAGTGAAATCGTACATGGTGATATTCATTATTTTGGACTCCAGCAAAAAAAGATTAAAAAAAAAAAAAATCAGAGACAAAATTTACTACAACAAAAGAAAAAAAAAAAACGAGTGTTTGTTCGATGATTTTGTGGAAAAAAAAGAAAATCTGTCAAGTATACAGTGGGAGGTCTGGACTGCTTCTGCAGAGCAGCAAACGCCATGAATGTCACCTGTAACATGGACGTCCGTTGAGTCCCGTTGAGTGTTACTGTGTGCCCGTTTGTGTGTATGTGCACACACGATGGCAAGAGAATGTGTGTTTGTGGCCGAGTGCGTTATTGAGGGAAGGCCTCATCTTTCATCAGCATGCGCGGACTCTCCTGGTTGTCCATGCGACGTCTAGGACCCATCATGCCTGTGGGATGAAACAGCAGACTAGACGTCATTCATTCACTCATACCAGGTAATTACAGTGATTTAAATACATATTTACTTGATTTCATAATTTCTCTGATTAATGCAAGCCCTCATTTGGGAATTAATTTATTCGACACCAAGTGGGTTCACTTCGTTACTCTAAAATAACAATGTGACGAGTATTTGATGATGTTATAAGTACACAGAGTTTAAGGCTTCATTTCCACTTACTGCTCTTATGCTTGAATGACTTAGATCTTCTGGGTGAGTTTGGATTCTGAGGTGGAATAAGAAAAACATCGAGTTTGAGTTGACAAACTAGGAATGAGTAAATGTAATCCATGTGTTTGTATGAATTAATTAATGATGGGGATAATAAAACATGATTGTTATATTATTCGAGGAAATAAGAGTACCTTGTCAGATTTCCTTTTCTTGGCTGTAAAAGAAAGACATTACATTTTAGATTCAAAGAAACATTTGAGTAATTGTTTTTTAGTAATTATTATTATTGGCAATCGACATTCAGTATCACTAAAAAGAGGTCCAACATAGCACCAGTACATCACCTTTCTTCTCTGCCCCGTAAGACCAGTCATTATCATTGACGTCGTCATTATCCTCTTGGTCGCTCTCTGACTTGTTGTTGGTGTTGTTACCGGTGACTATTCTGTAGAAGAGGGACGAAGAAGAAGGCATGACACACACACACACACACACACACACACACACACACACACACACACA